AAGTAATGCAGGATGAATATCATCAACAGTACATAGTTCTAGGCAGCGTCAGAAGCCTGCAAAGCCTGGGGTTTTGCCTTCGCCTGCCTCGGAAAGTCTCTGGATGGCGGAGTCGGTGGCTTTGCAGCTCGAGCTTCGGAAGCCCTCGGGTTCGAAAAGGCTCCTTTTTTGAAGGAATCCTTCGGGAACTTTAAAGCCAGTCAGCTTGGGTTCAGGGTCCACTGTGATAAACGGCCCCACAGAAGAAGAAGGGCTGACAGCGAACAAAAGCAGACGTAACAGAACTTAGCACTGCTGCTGCTGCCCCGGAGGGTCAGTCAGTTTGAGCGCAGCTTCGGTGCAAGGCCATGTCCTTCTGATAAGGCAACGGTTAGGCCCTACACCCAAGACCAGAGGCCTTTGACCACAACCCCTGGCACAGGCTTTGAAACTCGCCGGTGCAGCTCAGAACTTGCCTAGGTTTGCAGGGAAGGGTGTGAAGGTCTGATCCTGCAGAACAAGAGCGCATGATTCATCAGGCAAAAGTCCGAACGTTGTAGCCTAGTTGCTTCTGCGATCGTCGATGTGATTTTTAGTTTTCTTTGCTGAGATTCGGTTGCCTTCGTCCTGGGGGGTATGGGCCCGACCGAATAAGGGACCTCCGAACCCGGCCACCGGTAATTTTCACGCGATTTTGCGAGACCGTCCCAATGGCAAACGCTGAAGGCAACGCGAGAGATCATCGAGCGTATGGACGCGGCGACGATGATGCCCCACTCTGTGGGCCAGCATTCTGAGCCGGATAGCTTTCAGTACATGCATTCTTGCAAAGGTGGGTTTTGAGAATACCAGCCCGCACCGAACCTCACCCGGTGAGCCCAGAGAGAGAGAGAGAGAGAGAGAGAGAGACAGAGAGACTTGCCGTGCATGCAATTCTCAACTTGTGACTCCCCAAACTGTTGGGATCGTGGTGTACCGATGGCTTCTGACTTCTGATTGCAAAAACCTTCCAGATATCATGTGACATAGAGGGCTGAAAAATGTGACTAGTACTAGCATTCCGCTTATTGTCCCACTTTTATTCCGCTTATTGTCCCAGTTTTATGAGACGATATGACCCGAAACCCTGTTCAAGTTATTTCGGCTCCTACCTTTTCGAGTTTCAGGTCCGTCTGCGGGGGGATTCAGAAATTTTATCAGGAAAGTAACAGGAGTCCCGGCATGGGACCGGTAGGCAGAGGGTTTGGGATTAGGGTTCAGGGTTAGAGATCTGGCTTCTGCTGCCATTAAGCATGCTATGGCATGGTACTGGTTGCGTAGCACGTTATCCACTTTTGATTGGGAGGGGAGAGGATTGGAGGCTTGCACCCTTAGCTCGAATCTTGAATGCCCGAATCCCGTACTAAGGTATCTTCAAGTCACGCAGTACGACGTCGGAGATTCCTACGAGTTGCATCGCGACTCAAGCATAGAGGCCATGGCGGGGCCGGCGCGCTGTAGAAAGTCGAGAGTTCTCTGCTTCCCTCCGTGCTCCGGAGTGTGAGATTATATCAAACATGTTGGGCCTCGCAACGGATAGGGCTAAGGGCTTAGAAGTGACGGTTCAGGGTTAGGCTTTGGGATTTAATAAGGTTTTAGGGCTTTTAGAGTTCAGGGCCAAGACAGCTTCAGTGTAGGCGATGGGGACTTCGGTCGCATGGGTCGCTGATGTGGGAACATGATTCCAAATCTGTTGTTGCTGCTGTCCTGACCTCCCAGCCATACACAATTCTTTTCCTTAGGGTTCCTCATTAGAATTATACTATAAAGCACCCCCCAAACCCTTTTCGAGCTAAGGCGCCTCCAGAATGAGCGCATAATCCTCGTGATTCGCACCGCTGCTCCCTCGCATAAACCCTGAACCCTACATCCCAAACCCAGCAGCCCAGAGGCAGCTCGGACCCTCACCGCGATCCTTTTCTTGGAGGATGCTTGGTGACATCTAGAGAATCTCGAGTTCAGAAGCCTGAAAAATTCGGCAAGATTTTCCCTTATAGTCCGTTTATATAAATATACGACTAACCCCACACCCTCGTCTAATCATGAAGACCCCTATCGTAGTGGGTTTGGGGACCGGTTGCTGAGGATGGAAGCCTGAGGCTGCAAGGTTGAAGATTTGGCAGGGTTTAATTAGGGTTTGGGGTTTAGGGTTTTATGGTTTAGGGTTTAGGGCTTTAGTGTTTAGGGTTTTAGGGTTTAGGGTTTGGGGGTTTAGGGTTTAGGGTTTGTTGCAGCCTCATGGCATTATCAGTCACGGTGCTCTGCGCTTGGCATAGACTACTGCCTGAAACCCTCCCTCACCACAAGAATGCACAGACTTGCCCTTCTCCTCACAGTCCCCTAAGCAAAACCCTAGCCCCTAAACCCTAAACCCAACAAATGCCCGGACAGATTTGTCTTTTGGCCACCGGCTTAAGCGCCCCTACACCCTAAAACCTAAACCCTAATACCTAAACCCTTAACCCTAAACCCCAAAACGCCCGGACAGACTTGTCTTTTGGCCACCGGCCAAAAGACGCCCCAGGAGCCGGACGAAGGTGGCGAACTCATCTTCCCCTGGGTGGAGGATCTGGTTCCTGGCTCCGAGCTTCTGGGAGCCAAAGGCGCCCCCACCCCCGCTCCTTAGAAGGGTTCCTATAAGGGATACTATAATATAAGTGTTCCTACAAGGGGTACTATACTATAAGGGTTCCTTTAAGGGATGCTATAAGGGTGTAACATAGAAGCCTTAAACTATTTTGGTGTCTTATTGATAGTACGTTTGTTTTTGTACCCAGGACGAACTACTAAAATGATTCCGGCCAGAAAAGCCTTATTTATGGAGCCCCTGAGGAGCCTTCAAAGGAACTCTTGTTGAAGGAGCTCTTGTTGTTTCGTTGTGTCCTGGCAAAACACCGGATCTTGTTTGTCGGCTTCTTCGTTGGTCTAGTCTCGGCCTGAGAGCCAGCCTCCGTAGATTAATAGTATTCAGGCGGTTTGGTTTAGGGTTTAGGCGTCTGGGTTTCAGGGTTTCGGGCTCTGACCCTAAAGCCCCCGAAAGAAACCAGGCCGTTTGGTTTAGGGTTCAGGGGTCTGGGTTTTAGGGTTTCGGG